CGTCCAGAAGACCTATACAATTTTTTTCTTTTTGATTTTACCTGGATTACTGAGATGCATCAGGATATGTTCATCTGAGTTTCGAAATGGAAAGAGTTTTTTTCATCCTTTGTGTAAACAGCTGTGTGGATGGATGGAGTGGAGGGAGGAGTCGGGGGGCACCACCCCCTAGTGCCCCCATCCCCTCTCCACACTTTCAACAAAAGGCGAGAAAGAAGTCTGACCAGTTCACAKCAGAGATGGATCCTGAACAGACCAGAGCTGTGCCTGAAGACTGTGAGGAGGGGGATTTCTCTGGTCTGGGGGTTCCTGAGGAGCAGGGGGGAAACATCCCAAAGAGGCATGCCCGGGTCACCGTCAAGTATAACCGCAAGGAGCTGCAGAAGAGGCTGGATGTGGAGAAATGGATTGAGGAGAGTCTAGAGGGTCTGTACAGGGGTCAGGTGAGTGGCTGGGTCCAGGTCTGTCAGACCGTCAAAGWCTTCATGTATAAAAGTAAACTGGGGGTCCGATCCTGAGTTTGTGTTCTCTCTGTTCTGAGGTGTTGATCGGGGGAGGAGGTGGGTGTCCTTACAAGGTCTGTAGACATGTGGTTCCTCTCAGAGATCTGTATCTGGCCTGGGTTTTTTTGCTCATATATGGGCATGGTGGGACACAGAGGGGGGCTGAAGCTGGAGGACAGAGGAAATGAGGTCTAAGGGGAGGAAAACGAGCTGACAGCTGGATGAAACATTTTAGGAGAAGATCATAAAGAACTGTTTGATTTAACTGTAAAACATCCAGATAGAAATTGGACCTGGGTTTTTAGCTGAACCTCTGGTCTGTTCTGGTCCTCTGGACTCCAGCAGAGTTTGATCAGAGACACAGACAGTTATCCATCTCYATGGTTCTGGAAAGCAGACCTTATATTTAACAGGTCTTTAGGGTCTGTGCAGAGTTCGCTCCGATGGGCTGTAATGTAGACCTGCAGTCCAGTTTGTGCCAAGACTCCAGTCCCACAAACACAGAGAGCRGTCCAGTGGCTGAGCTCCTATTCTGTGTTTGAACAATGGCTGCTTGTTTCAACAGAACTGACCATTGTWACCGTATTCTGCACACTTTACTGCTGTTAGCTCCTGAAGCAGACTGAAGACCTGCTCTGACAGCTGACAGCTTTACGTTTGCTTYCACCTCAGTCCATGAAGAAAAACTAACAAATAATTTATATGTTCACATTCCTGTATGTCTGTTTGTGACTGAGGTTTGTGTTTTTCATATCTGTGCTGAACATGTTGGTGTCAGGAGAGCGACATGCCAGAGGAGGTGAATATTGACAGTTTGATTGACCTGCCAAGTGATGAGCAGCGAGTCCAAAYGTTGAAGGTAACACAATATGTTGGTCATTTTCCTCGTATCTGGTGCTTATTATAAACTCATAATGACAGGACATGTGTGATAAATTAATGATGAACAGGTTTGTAACAACAGGTGCTTTCTTTTTAAACAGGGGCTCCTCCATAAGTGCAATAACAGTACAGAGGTATGTTTATTCACTTTTATCAGTTTCACAAATTGCATTTGACATAAGACACACCGGTTAGCATACACCTGTTAGCATACACCTGCTAGCATACACCTGCTAGCATACACCTGTTAGCATANTCTGCAGAGACCACTTAGTGTGTCCATGGATGGATTGAGATCTGAAGAGATGACTTAGTGTGTCCATGGATGGACTGAGGTCTGCAGAGACCACTCATTGTGTCCATTGATGGACTGAGTTCTGCAGAGACCACTCAGTGTGTCCATGGACGGACCAAGGTGTTCAGGCACCACTCAGGTCTGCAGAGACCACTTAGTGTATTCAGGATGGACTGAGGTCTGCAGAGACCACTCAGTGGATTGACCACCCCAGTCTCAGTGCACTACAGAGTCTTTCAGTCTCTCTCTCTCCTCAGTAGATTTACCGTYGCTGTGTTGCAGTGATGCTCCTTGACAGGGAAAAAAAGTGAGACAATCCAGCAGAACACCCCCTAAAAAGAAAAGCTCTAATCTTTAAAGAGAAATATCTACGAATCTGTGGACGTTCATAACAAGCTGTTTTTGTTCCTGTCTGCCCTGGACCCTTTTGTTCTGTTTCTTTCAGTTAACCTGGAAAAAAAAAAAGAAAAAAAGCGTTTGATCCAAAATGCTGTGTGGTCATAATGTCAGTTTCTACAGTTTGTTTTTATGAATAACTGTCTTCATTCTGATTCTACATTTTAACAAAAAAAATGTCACTTTTTTATTTTTAACATAAGTGTTCACTGCGGTGGCACTGGAATAAAGAGAAACTAACACAAAGGTTCAAATTTGATTAATAAAATGGCTGTTCCCCAAAGTCTCCTGAGCTGGTTTGACATGAGTGATGATGATGATGATGATGAAGCAGGATGTGTGTCCGTTTGTTTACAACAACCTGACATTTTTATTAAGATATGCACCATATTACACAAAACTCTTTCAACCAGTTAAAACCTCCTGTTTTTACAGTTTCTCCCACAGACAAAGTTTGAATTTGTCTGTTAGCAAAATATCGCATGAACCACAAGAACCTTTAGGACTGATTAGCTTTTGRAGKTGGCCCAATTCAAGGTGGCTACCACTACGGAGCCCACAAGGGGACATGGGGGATTTTTTTTTCTTTTGCATTCCCACACAATAGTATAGTGTTCCCTCATTTATTAACAAATTCACATGCCTACCATTAGCAAGTTAGCTTAYTTTGATTCAGCTTTGGAATGAATAGGCTAAATCACACAGCCACGCATGGAAGTATGTCATATGCTGATATTTTAACACAATGCAGCCACACAACATCAATGTTAATTTCACAAACTTGTGGCGAAACATCCTGTTTTTGTAACCAGATTTTCAAAATAAAAGTCTGATTTAATTCAGTTCATACAAAACAAACTTTTGCGTGGAAATGAAAAACAATATTTAAAGGGAATGCAAGCTTTTGTGAGGTAAAGGAAAAAGTATTGCAAGGTAATGCAAAAGAAAAAAAAACATGTCTCCTCATGGGCTCCGTACTACTACAGGCAACTGACTGCAACTAGGTTTTTAGAGTCCATTCATCCATTTTCTGTACACGTTTCTTCCTTTCAGGGTCACAGGGGTCACTGGTGCCCATATCCATCAGTCACAGTGCGAGGGGCGGGGTACACCCTGGACAGGTCACAGATCCATCCCAGAGACACATAAAGACAAATGAGACAGACAACCATTCACTCTCTCACTCACACCTAGGGACAATTTAGTTATCAATTAACCTAATCSTCATGTTTTTGGTGTTTTATACATATTGAGCCAAAATATGTCATGGTGGTAGCAAACACTCATTAACAGCATGAAAGACAATGTTCAAAACTGGAAGCCTGATTTGCAGAAAAATGACAGTTTTCAGTTGGATGTTTATTCTCAGATCTACAGACATTTTTTTTCTCTCAGAGCCAGGATGTGGCTCTAAATCAAACCAAAATGGCTCATAACGTCCGTGTCCTTACCAAACCATAATATTTATAGAAAACCTGGTCACACTCATGGAGGTGGCTCCTCTCACAGAGTGATAGGAAGAGGCAGAAGTCTTCATCCAGATTAGGCTCATGGCTAACCACAGGAGGGTMTTTTAATGATTTTCCAACACCTCTCATATCAGCAAATATTAACTAGATTTGTTCTGAACAGTGCTGTAGTGAATTCATCATCAGCTGGGAGTTATTTGAATAGATGTGACCGATATCAGACAGATAAATTCAGCCTTGATACATTCATCATATATTCACATATAATCACACAGTGACAGACATTTAGCTGAGAATTCAATTCAGTTCAGTTTATTTATATAGCACAAAGTCACAACATACGTTGTCTCAGGACACTGTACATGAAAAAGAACAATCTAAAAAAGAAACCAGCAGAT